AGTCCTGTGTCCTAAGTGAGTGTGACACACAACAGGCCTGTGGTCTTGACCCGGAGTCAGGCAGGAAGCAGACCGAGAGGGATGAGCAACAGGAACGTGGGTGAAGGGAGACAGCAGATGGAGTAAGACATGAACATAATAGTAATTTATGAATAATCAAGGGTTCATAAGGGTGGGGGGGGGGAGGGAAAAACAGGAGCTGATACCAAAGGCTCAAGTAGAAGGAAAATGTTTTGGAAATGATGATGGCAACATATGTACACGTGTGCTTGATGCGATCGATGTATGGATTGTTATAAGAGCTGTATGATCCCCCAATAAAATGATTTATTAAAATTAAAAAATAAATAAAATAAAATAACATTTTTTTTAAAGCAAGCAAGTGGAATCCCAGGGCTGGCGACACTTGGACATGTCACCTGGGGAATCTGAGACTGGCCCTTTCTAAACACTGAGAGCCGTCTGGGGTGCTTATAAATCCTCAAGCACCAATTCTCACCAGAAGAGTTGCCTTAGTCAAAGCCTCATTGTTGTGAAAGGTCTGGCGGACAAGAGAGAGGTCGATGTTGGTGTGTGTGTGGGGGCATTCAGTGTTGCCCAGAAACCATTGGAAAACCAGCTCGTCTTGGTTCCAGGCAGGAGTCTGTGAACGTTTCTTCGGTGGCACCGGGAAAGGGAAAAGTCCGGGGAGGAAACAGGCCAGAGGAGGGAGAGGGTGGCCAGCAGCATTTGTTCAGGGTGGGGGGTGGGGGAATCAGGGCCCAATCACTGGTCACCTATCTGCTGAGCATCTGTCACGTGCCAGCACTGAGCTAGACAAGGGAAGACCGACAAACGCAACAGACAGCTAACGGCACTCCGAGGGCTTACTTTCTGTTCAGGTGAGAAAGACCAAACCGTAAGCCACGGTGACAAGCCCCCAGGGAAACACAGTAAAGCAAGGTGAAGCTGGGGTCCGGGAGGGCTGAGACCAACGTCGGACCGTAAGCCACTGTGACTGCCACCGGGGGCTTTTTGCCTAACCTGACAGAACTCCTGGGTGGTGGGGAAGAGGGCGTTCTCTCTGCCTTCTCCTGAAAAGCAATCTGCTCATGAGCACGGGTGCCAGATCTTGCTGAGCATTCAAATAAAACCAGGTTGAGAGTGTGGCCCTGCCACCTCGCTTTCTGTGCTCTTGTCTCGGAGGCAATCGTTGAGAGCCATCATGAGGAGGTGGGAAACAGCTAGAGCAGCGGTTCTCAACCTGTGGGTCGAGACCCCTTTGGGGGTCAAACGACCCTTTCACAGGGGTCACCCGATTCATAACGGTAACAAAATGACAGTGATGAAGTAGCAAAGACAACAATTTTATGGTTGGGGGTCACCACCACATGAGGAACTGTATGAAAGGGTCCCAGCATGAGGAAGGTTGAGAACTGCTGAGCTAGAGTAATGCAGCCACTGCAGGGCACTTTGCATTTCTGCATCTGCATCTCCATGGTCACAGCTGAGGTTCTGTTTCATGGCATAAGTAACCACTTCGCTGAGGGGTTCCATAACTTGCTCGAGGGTGAGGAAGATGGGCTGATAAATAAGAATACAAGAGCCAGCTGGCAGACAAGCCCACACGGGTCTGTCTGTATCTAGATGGAAATAGCCAAGTCTAAACCAACCCAAGGGACCAAGGGGCGGGTGGCCTCGGGCTGCACGTAGACGCGATAATGAATGGTATGTGGCGAGGGAAGAGGCTCTCTATCTGCTAAAGAGCCATAACCAGTGCTTGGGAAGGAACTGGTGACTGAGATCAGCTCTCTGCTGGGAGCAGCTGGGGCGCAGGTGAAACAATTAGGCCGTTAGTGGATACCAGCCCAAGCCCAACCCACTGCCATCAAGTCCACTCCACGCCCAGCAGCCCTGTGGACACCAGGGAATGCTCTTGTGGCATGCCGCGGCTGGGCTTCTTCCCAGGAGCAGGCCTTTCTCCCTCCCTGTGGGAACCAGGTCTGAGGACTCACACGGTGTTGTTGGGTGCCACCGAGTCGGTTCCGACACACAGTGACCCTATCCACCACGGAACGAAACGGGGACCAGTCCAGTGCCAGCCTCACGACTGTTGCCTGAGCCCATGGTTGCAGCCACCATGTCAACCCACCTCCCTGAGGGCCTCCCATTTTTACCGAGCATGACGTCCTTCTCCAGGGACAGGTCTCTCCTGACACATGTCCAAAGTGCGTCAGATGAAGGGGTCACGTACTCAATAGTAAAGCAACAATGAGAACAAAGGCCCTAAGGCTTCAGGCCATCGAGCCAGGCTCTCGTACTTGCTTGTCCTTGGCCAGAGGCACACACCACTACTCCGGCCTCTGGAAGCCTGGGGGTGGAGTGGGTTATACACAGAGCTGCTAAGCGCAAGGCCAGCAGTTCGAACCTACCAGATGCTGAGCAAGAGGCGGAGAACGCCTTCGGCTCTGTGAAAAACCCCAAACAGGGAGTTCCACCCTGTGCTATAGGACCCTGAGTCAAAGTCAACTGGAGGGCAGTGAGCTTGGTCTTTTCCCCTTTGGTTAGTTTACCCCTTCTTGGTCTGCTTCTCCAGCTCCCAAAAAAAAGGAGACTAGATAGTGCTTTGTACAGCTTTGACTGGATTACCCACCCCGAAGGGTCCCTTCTCCACCTCCAAAACATAGATGAGACTAGACAGTGCTTGATAAAGCTTTGAGTTCATTAACTCCCCCACCCCACCCCCAAAAAGGTTCTGCGGTTGCACGGGGGTCACACTCCCGGCCAGGCAGGCTCCTCTCCTGCAGGGATCTCCAAGCCCATGCTAAGCACACGCTAACATGTGCATGAATCTCCAAAGATCCCCACTGAAGAAGCCATTTATCGACGGTGAGACCAACTCGGGAAGACGGATCTGGGAGGCTCCGGGGCCCTTTCGGGCCTGACTGACTGCAAAGGCAGGACCAGGCTGAGAGGGCAGGAGGACGGACAGACAAACAAAAGGCCAGAGGCCCTGACTTTCAGAGTGCATTGCGATGGTGTTGAAAAGAAACAGTGGCTGGCTGAGAGCAGCAGGCTGTGCTGCAGAAGGGGTGACAGCCGGGCTGCCTGGCGTTCCCAGGGGGCAGGAGGAGAAGAGCGCTGAGGACCTGGGCAGATGTCCCAGCCATAAGCAGGTGGGAAGGCTTGTTCAGAGGAGGCCGTTAGGGCTGGAGAGAAAAGGGCCAGGGATGAGGCCCAAGTGTGAGAAAGAGGCCAAGAGGCTCCCAAGCTACAGGCTCAGCTGCTTGGGCGGTGCCCTGGAAGGAAGGGGGGTTCAAGCAGGAAAGCAGAGAAGAGAGAAAAGTCAGACTGCCAGGGAGGGGGGTCCTGGAGCCAGACAAATAAACACGCATTGTGGAGAGCCAACTGAAAAGTTAAGCAAACCAGCCTAGAACTTAAAAAAAACAAGGGCATAACTCACAAAACTTGGGGGTGTTCAATAGTCAAGAGATGAATCCCGAGTCTCTCCATTAGTTGAAGGAAAACTTTCCCTCAAATCTGAATGGAGGCAATGACAGAAAGCTTGTTGAACTACCAATAAAGAAAGGCTACAGTGTAGCAAGGAGCCCTGCTGGTGTAGTGGTTATGAGTTGGTTATGAGTTGGGCTGGGATCCTCAAGGTTCCAAGTTTGAAACCACCAGCCGCTCCAGGGGAGAAAGACTGGCTTTCAAGTGCACAAAAGAGTTACAGCCTCAGAAACTCACAGGCTTCCTAGGAGTCAGCATCCACTTGATGGCAGTGAGCTTGGCTTTTTGGTTTTTATACTTGTTAAATAGGATACTGCAATAGGCTTTCTAGAATTATGTTTTCTTCAACTGCATTATTTTTAATTACTTCATAGCACATGAAGTAAGAGCAATGTTTTAATTGAGGCATTGTGCTAGACATTTTATTTCTAATGATCTCAATTCACCTTCAAAACAAGCCTCCTCCTTGGATAGGGTGGGGGATGCGACCAGGGAGGGGTCATTGCTCAGGACTAGGGGAGATCAGGGACCAGGGGCCAATTTCATGCTACTTAGCAAGGGACAGACGGTGATTCAAGCCCAGCTCGACCTGACTTGGAGGGATGAGCTCTTGGTCACCATGGTGCCCGCTGCAAGGACAGAGGACAGCACATTTAACCAATCTCCTGCTGCTGGACAAGCACAGTCCCTCATTTCCCTCCACGATCACAGTCTGCCTCTCTGTTCCACCCCATCACCTTTCTCTGTCCACCGGGTGGCTTTGCTCACTGGACTGTGAGCTCCACTACACTGAGTTCGCTGTCAAATGTCTGGCCTCTGGGGGCGTTCTCTGGCCACTCACCATTTGGAACCAGCAGGAGACTCTTCACGATGCTTCTGAGCGGGCCGAGGCTGATCTGGTTGGTGGTGGCGAAGTCGGAGAGCTGAGCCAGAAACCGCTCTACCTGCAGAGAAGGGCGGGCGGGCACAGACTGGGCAGAGACCTGCTAAGGATCTTGGAACCACTGGGCTCGCTCTCGGGAACCCTCCGGGTCACAAACTACCTTACCTCTTTTGGCTCCGTCAGGAAGTGGAAAAGCACTTCTGTCAGGGCTGAGAACTGCTGTGAAGAGAGGAACAGGGCATCAGTGCACCTCTGACTCTTGGGACCCCATTCCCCACCCCTCCAACAACAGGACCCGGTCAGCACCCCCAAGTCCACATCCGTAGCTTTGTCCTCCTCCTCTTTCTCCATTGGGCTGGGGGTGCTTCAGAACGGGTATCACCGCCCAAAGCGGTCATGCTCTGGGCGATTTCAGTGTCAGGGTCCATCCAGACTGAGAGCAGTCCCCAGCCACAGGCGGACTGATGACAGAGGCGGGGGGCTAACCCCTCTGCTCCTCCCCTCCCTCACCACCCTGGCACCCAGGCAGCCCGTCCGCGTGAACAACAAACTGCAGGAAGGAAGGAAGGAGGAGGAAGCGGTTATGTGTGTGGGGTTGGGAGTGGGAGGTAGTTAGTACCATCTCCACTACCTGTAGGTTATGTGTGGATAAACAGGAAACGCTGAGGAGACAGGGGTTGTGGTCGCCAGCCACTATCATGGGTTCACAGACCAGGCCAAACTCCCCCCACACACACACACACACAAATAAATAAAAATAAAATAACCCCACACAAACCAAACTCACTGCCAACAAGCTGATCCCAACTCATGGTGACACTATAGGACAGGACAGAACTGTGCCTGTGGATTTCAGAGACTCTTACTCTTGAAAGAAAAGACAGGCCCATCTTTCTCCTTTTTTGCCCCCCTCCCCATCTTTCCCCTGAGAGCAGTGGGTGGTTCCAAACTGCTGACCTTGTGAATGAAAGCCAAGCTTATAACCAAACTGCCATGGAGTCGATTTTGCCTCAGAGCAACCCTCTGGGACAGGGCAGAATTGCCCCTGTTGATTTCCCAGAGTGTCAACCTTTAAAAGAATGGAAAGCCTCATCTTTCTCCCTCGGAGTGGAAGACGGTTTTGAACTGCTGACCTTGAAGCGAGCAGCCCAAGAAGTAAAGCACTATGCCACCAGGGCTCCGACTCCAAGTAAGGGGAGTCAACAGAGAGAGGGTAAGCACTAGCTCCACACCAGACCTTCCACGAGAAACCAAAATTAGGCGCCAGAGCAGAGAGCGTGCACTGAGGAATTGGAAGATTAAATCACAGGGCCCAAATCCTATCTGCCCAGGCTTGTGTATTCTCGGACCCTTGTTACACTACGTGGAGCCCTGGCGGTGTACTGGTTACGCTGACCAGCCAAGGACCTTAGGCAAGTCCCTTAGCGTCTCTGCCTCAATCCCCACAGGGAAAACACAGCAAAAGGCCGAAGCTTCTAGAGCAGGTGGATGGGGGAGGCCACCAGCAGCCAGGAGCTAGACAAACAGTGGCCATCATGACAGACACAGGGTCGCTAGACCACTTCACCCGCTTTGGTGGGGAACACTTTACTGAAAAGGAACAAAGAAAAGGGCAGCTACTTCAGCTCCAGTCCTCAGTGCTGTCTGGGCCGTGTGACTGCCAGGCATCTCAGCTATGACTCACGCAGCTCCATTACCCACCCCTCCCCGGCTCTCGTCATACTCCAGAATGGGCTCTGTTTTATAATAGCAAGCTAGTTCTCAAAAACAAATAAATGAATAAAAACAATAATATACATACATGGGTTTAAAACAACAAGCTATTTCTACTGTCTCCTCATATCTAGGCCCACCCCCCACAGAAAGTTACTGCTGCTCCTGCCTGGGGTGGTCTTCTTGTCGTTGTAGTCTACTTAGCTTATTTGTTGTTGTTTTTAATTTCTTTCTTTCAAATATCAATGGGATCATTCTGAATCTTTGCCTAGCATCTTGCCTTTGCCCACTCACCCGCTTAATTAGATCTTAGAGATCCACCTCGGGCAGCAGATGTCAACCCACCTGGCTCTTTTAATAACTCCCGGCCATCCCGCTACCCCTGGTACACAGCTGGCAGCGAGTGGTGACTTGAATCATAGCAACCCCCGTGCGTCCAAGCAGAACTGCCTCCCACAGGCTGTGCTCTTTCAGAAGTAGTTTGCCAGGCCTTTCTTCTGCAGGGCTGCTGGGGGGATTCTGACCACCAACCTTCGGTTAGGAGAAGGGTTCCACTACAGGTGGAGCAATTTTATGAGCTCCTGTGAAGCAGACATCAGTCCGGCTGGAGTTGCCAACAA